GGGCCCTCGCCGCCGGCCCCCCCGGCCCCAAAGCCTCCCTCGCGGGCGCGCCCGCTGGGAGCCCCCTCCCGGGCCTGCGCCCTGCTCATGCGGAGCCCCTCCTGCCTGGGGCCTGGCTCACGTGGCCCAGTGCGGGGCTGAGCCCTGTCCTGCCCGGTTGCCCCTCCAGCCCCTGCCCCTGCCCCTGCCTGCCCGCCCCAGCTGCTGCTGTGCTGCTGGCTCCCGGTCCGACTTGCTGCGGGTTGGCCACCCCTGGCATGGCCTATTCCTCTGGGCTGAGCTAACATTGGTGGTAATTAGCACTTCGGCCAGCCTGCTTGTAAAGGCCCTCCACGCCCTCATAGGCTTGAAGACCTTGACTGGCTCTCTGGTTTTCTGCCTTATTTTCTTTCCATTTAATCAAGCTTAAAATAGCCAATGGCCCAAAGTAAATTCATTTCTGTCGGTACTTCTCTAAAAAGGCTGTTTGCTCAGTTCACAGGTTGGTGACCTTCATCTTTGTCTATGAAGATCTGATATCCTTGGTGTGCGGCGCCGTTATCGTCTGGTACTTTGCAGGCAGCTTTGAGAAGAACGTGGGCACAGTGAAGCATTGCTTCCTCACGGTTGCTTTTGCCATTTCTTCTGCCCTGCTGTTTCTCTGCCTTGAGGCTGTCTTCTCTCAGCTTTCAGTGGTTGGAGATGCCAAAGGATTTATTCCAGTTGCTTTTGCCATGTTTGGTGTGTCTACAACCCGGTCACGGATGAGAAGAGCACTTCTGTTTGGGTGTAATGTTCCCATTGTACTGGTGCCGTGGATTATGCTCTGTATGACCTGGTTTATTCCTCGCTCCTCTCTCCTGGGTAACACATGTGGTCTCTTAGTTGGGGTAGCCTGTATCCTTTCTAGCTGGGGGACAGAAGGAGCATGAGAGCTGGGATTGCGAGAGGGAGAGAAAGAGAAAACATGCTAAATTCAAGGCTTAGACTCACAGCTTTATGTTATTTATTGGGCAAAGTTACAGTTCTCTGTATGCTGCTTAAAGTCGTATTAGGTTTATTGTTACTCACAAGGGGCTGGAAATGCAATTGTTTTCTCCCCTAACCTCCACTGTGGTTCATGGACCTTTAGCGCACGTGGGGAATGCAGGACAGTGGAGCATGGTGCTCCTTTCGTCATGGTGCTCCTTTCGTCTGAAAATTGAGGCAAGGTAGAACAAACTTTCTCCTGCCTTTGTAGCTTGTGTGCTGTGTACATGGAAACCTTGATTTATGGCAAAATGTACTATAGGCCATGTGCAGAAAGCATGTCCTGTGATGCCCTTCTACCAGAAGCTGCCTCTTTAACATGTTCCTAATCTCAGATGGTTTGGGCTACTGCTTCTGCTTGGATCTCCCGGAGTCAGTTGTATCCAGGCTAGATCAGAAGCTCCCTTTCTGCCTGCTGAAGAGAATACCAGGATTGAAATACATTCCAGGGTCCTTGGCAGAGAGAAGAGCTTCCCAGAGCAAAAAGTAAGTGCTTGAACTCCAATAATGTTTCTTATTGAAAAGGAAGGCTGCAGTCAGGAAATGGAAGGAAAACGCTGTGGTGTGGCGGGAGCACCATTGGGGTGCTTGCCACTTAGTGGACTGTTGCAGGTGACATATGAGCCTGCATGGTGAGCAGCAGGGAGACCTCCCTCCCCCTTCCCCTCCTCAGGTAGCCATTTTAAGGGAGAAGGTGTGTGGCAGAGCACCTTTGGGCTAGGAACAGACATTACATTTAAACCAGTTTAAGTGATCAGAAACTGGTTTAAATCTGTAACAGAACAGATGTTCAGTGCACATAAGCCAGTTTGAAAATGGCTGAAACCAGCTTGAGATAAACGTGGTTGAATGTAGTAGCAGACTTAATTGATTTGGCTCAATCCAGTTTATGCAAGGTGTATCCCAGACCCCTTGCTGGTTTAAGATAAACCATCCCAGCATGCTCGTTGGGCTGGGCTGGGCTCTCTGCTCCACAGCAGGGCTGGCCCCTCCCCTCTGCTCCCTGGCTGCAGCTCTGGCAGAGACTTGCAGGCTGGTCCCCGCC